GTACCTTATAAAACTTATTGATACCCACAACCTGATTGGTACATTTTCCATTGCGATATGCATAAAACAGGCGGCGATCCTTTGCTGCTGCTAGACGAAGGGTTATGTACATTCGGTAAAATTTAATATATTCTTCAGTAACTACAAATTTCCTGTTTACATCTTTCTTTGTTTGTTTGAGTTTCACAATTAATAACGTTCCCGAATCTTCAATATCATCCAATGTTACCTGGCTGATTTCACAAATTCGACAAGCTCCTGCAATTCCAAATACAACAACAACAACCTTGGCCTTTCAATGAACTTCATCAGGAGCATTATTCAAAGCAAGACAGTTTGGCAGTGCTCAAATAACACCCACACACCGTGAATTTCATTCAAGATGCGTTTCAATACACCAGTCCAACTGGTGTCCAACTTCTGTATTTCTCTCATCTTTTCTGCCACGTATCTGCTTCCGAATTTTTCTTGAATTATGACTTTTCTATTTTACAGTCATTCGCGTTATAGTCACCGCCAGCTAGTCCACGTGGACTGAAGAATTCACGAATTCACGTATTGGATGATTTTTACTAACCGAGTTTTATGACTGGCTGAAGAGTCATATTACGGTGACGAATAGATTGTGAGCCGTCGTATTGTCAATGATCAGTTCAGGAACTGATCGCGATTCGAGTGTTGAAATTCGATATTGTGCAGTAATAATTACTTAAAATTTTTGTTATCTGTTTAAAATGTGGCGTCCTTGGGCAAGTACTAATAGTAATAACGAGTGGAATAACTACACTGATTTTTTCCTGTGTAGTGATTCCAATAGCGCTGGTGAACAATGCGAAAAAGGGTTACCAGTGAATGAAATTCGGATGCATATCTCAAGTTTGGTTCTTTGAAATTATGTGGAAAAAAAACTTGAGGACTGCAATGTTGACTATCATAAGAACAGGGAAGCTAATATTTTTGAGGAATGGTTTGAAAACACATTGGTCCCAAATTTGGATGCGAATAGTGTAATAGTTCTTGACAACGCTTCCTATCATTCGCGACACCTCATCAATGTACCGAATAAAAATTTGAGGAAAGATAAAATTCAAAGTTTTTTAAACGATAAAAATTTGTATTTTAAAATAACTATATCAAAACCCAACTCTTTGAAGTTTTACAGACAAAAACATTTGAAAAGGTTTCACGTATAGTCAGTGGGCATACTTGAAGACTGGCTATAAATCAAATCATCTGAAAGAACAATTCGTTCAGGCCAGTCTCAACACCCTACACAGTAGGTTAATGGACTGACACCTATCAGAAAACAACTACTCCCCTGGCTAATACCACGAAGGGCGTTGGATTATATCCGACAGGTGTCAGTGCAGGATTCTTCAC